ACCAAGGCGGTGGTGCCAAAGGAGGGTCTGGTGCGACAAAGCGCGACATGAGCAGGGGGCCGCTAGCTGACCTAACGCAGACGCAGACGCAGCTACCTGAGGGGACTCAGTGGTCAGTGTGTACAGGTTCGACCCCGGCTGCCGAGTGAAGGTAGCCAGGTGACGACCCGTCTGAGCACACGTGCAGTGTGTGACACGCTCATAGGCTGGGGTGAACTGGTGAACACCCGCGTCCTGGAGCGCAGAACCCGCCACCAAGTTCGTAGAGAATGAGGGGAGGTGAAGACCTGACAGGGAGCCAGACGGGACCGCCGGACACGGCAGGACCGTGGAGGAGTGCGCAAGGACTGGACCCCCAGAGGGGTCTGCCAGGGAGACTGGAACCGGCCGACTGAGCGGCGTGAGGGTGGTGTTGTCGCGAAAGAAGGAGCGGGAAGCACCTGAGTCAAGTGTGAAGGTGTACAAGGCCTCAGCAGGCGCAGTACCAGAGAGAGCAGACTCACCAGCACCTGGAGCAGGAGACGCACGAGCACCTAGAGCAGCAGCCTCACCAGCACCTAGAGCAGGAGACGCACTAGCACCTAGAGCAGCAGGCTCTATACCTGGGTCAGGCGGTACGCACAGGTAACAGGCACCGTCAGCACTAGTAGGCAATGCATACATGGTAGTGAGAATATCATCATAGTTAAGAGCAAAGATATCTACCCTCTGCCTAAGCAGCTCCACCCAGTCGGGGAGCTCAGCCTCGTCGCCAAACTCGGTACGCCAGGCGTCGCTCAGGCGGGCGAAGCAGCGGGACTGTGTGTGACTAAGCGTCCCGCAAGCCTGACCAGTCCGAGCACCTGTACGAATGACGTACGGGCAGCGAACGGTACTCCTCGGCCCTCTACTCTGAGCGTACCACTCGTGAAGCTGCTTGGACGTGAGTGTCTCGCGTAGACGCCGCTGCAGCTGCAGCTGGCCACTGCTAGACGCTCCCAATTGACCAGCTCCAGGGCGACAGCTACGACGGCTACCGCCACAACCCCAACTAGCGTACCACTCACTAAGCTGCTGGGGCGTGATAGACTCGTGGGAACGTCGCTGGAGCTGCATCTGGCCACTGCCAGTAGCAGCAGTAGCAGTAGCAGTAGCAGTAGCAGCAGCAGCAGCCTAGCAGCAGTAACAAAAGTAGTAGCAGTAGCAGCAGTAGCAGCGCGGGCAAGGCAGGCAGGCAGGCAGGCAGGCAGGCAGTCAGGCAGCCAGCCAGGCAGGCAGGCAGTCAGGCAGGCGGCGCTGCAGCGCGCGAACAAGGCAGTTGCTCACCAGTGGTGGGCTGGCGCTCGGCGGGCGACGGCAGGGTAGGCGCACGAAGACAGGCGCGAGGTGAGGTAGGGGTGGCAGCACCGAGTGCAGGCGCGTCTCGGGATCCAGGGGCGGCTGCACGGGGTTCAGGGGCGGCGTCGCGGGTCCAGGGGCGGCGTCGCGGGGTCCAGGGGCGGCTGCACGGAGTCCAGGGGCGGCTGCACCAGGGGCGGCTGCTTCAGGGGCCAGGGGCGGCTGCTCTGGGTCCAGGGGCGGCTGCTCTGGGTCCAGGGGCAGCTGCTCGAGGGTCCACGGGCGGCTGCACTAGGGGCGGCTGCTTCAGGGGCCAGGGGCGGCTGCTCTGGGTCCAGGGGTGGCTGCTCGAGGGTCCAAGGGCGGCTGCACTAGGGGCGGCTGCTTCAGGGGCCAGGGGCGGCTTCTCTGGGTCCAGGGGCGGCTGCTCAAGGGTCCAGGGGCGGCTGCACCAGGGGCGGCTGCTTCAGGGGCCAGGGGCGGCTGCTCTGGGTCCAGGGGCGGCTGTGTCAGCAGCGCGGCTACGTAGGGGTGCGCGAGGGCGGGGCTGAGCCGCGTGCTGCCAAAAAAAGCGGCGGCGCAGCGGGCAGGGAAGGGCGGCTCGCGGGCTCTACAGGTGCGCGACGGGCCAGGCGGGGTCGCGCGCTGCCAGCAGGGCAGCGCGACTGGCTCCCGTGGGCGGCGCGAGGGCCCTAAGGCGACGCGACGGGCGGGGCCGGGCCCTAGGACGAGAAAAAAAGGAAAATAAACGCGCGTCGCGTGGCCAGCAGGGCGGCGCGACGGGTGGGGCAGCTCGACAGGCAGGGGAAACCCTAAAAAAACACTAGAGTTAATGGTGGGCCCACTAGGAAATTTGGTCCTAAGACCTAAGTGCTCTTAATACCATGTTAGAGTATAGGCATGAATGGATATTGAGTATCGAGAGGGTTGGTACAAAGGAAAAACCTAAGGGGTTGTACCCCACAGTGAGTACCCCACTAAGCCTACCCAAACTATAATATATATATATACCATGTTTGACAACCACAGGGTTGACCACAAGGCTGACCACAGGGCTGACTACAGGGCTGACCACATGTCTGATAACAGGGCTCATCACAGGTGCTAACCACAGGGCTTACCACAGGGCTATTTACAGTGCTTATCACAGGGGTTACCACAGGGCTGACCACAGGTTAACCACAAGGTTAAACTCAGCGCTTGCACACGGATTACAGGGATGTGCACTGGGAATACTACAGTAACCATAGGGCCTTTGCACCAGGGCACACTAACCACAGGCTTGTGCATGTGAGCATGCTAGTACCGTAACAGCGAATGAGCATTGCGTCCAGGGCCTGAATGTCAAGGTGAAATAATGACAGCACTAAAGCATCAGGGCAGGCTAACAACAGGTCTGGTGTGCTAGGGCAGCAGCACTGTTCTGTGCGTTGGAGGGACTGTGCATTTAAACAGGTTACCCACAGTCCCTACCTCCAGTCCCTACCTCCAGTCCATACCTACCTGTTCATGGCAGCATGCCCGTTCATGGCACCATACCTACCTGTTCATGGCAGCATGCCCGTCTATTGCAGTGTGTGCAATCATGCAATCATGACAGCGTGTGCGCGTGTGTGCTTTTGTATTTCTCCGTGCATCAACAGATTCAGGACGGCAGGTACCGGTATTCTTCAGTGCAGCCCATGGTGATCTCAATGCCAGGGCGAGATACATATTTTCAAGAAACATTGCCCGTAACGGCATAGAAACCTACTGTACAGTTAATAAAAATGTTGTTTAAGGGTACATTCCGCTCTGGACATGTCCCAATCGTACATGTCCCAATCGGGTGTACCGCTCGGAACCGAACTAAACCAGAGACGCGAAAATTTTGACAATGTTTGAAACTAGGGTGTAATTCGGTGTAATAAGATGCCGTGCGGTTGAATCGATTGGGACATGTACGATTGGGACATGTCCAGAGCGGAATGTACCCTAAGTTGATAGGTTGGAAATCTATGATTCTGGTAGATTACCGTATTTCAAATTTCAATTAAGGTATCCTACTTGGTAATTTCGGGTAAAATTTGTTGTAAATGGTTATCTGAAGAACATTGTAATTCAGCTTCACTGCTCGAAACCTATTACGAAGCGTCTTGTAAATCTGGGCATCGCCATCTCCTTCCAAACAACGAATTATCGGCATGGTCGCCTCATTTTCGATATTATTTGAGTGGTAACTAATTTCCAACCACTATTTACCTGCTCCGAATAAGGGCTTAGGCTCGTAACTGACGCAATGGGAGCCAGGGTCGCAGGAATTCAGTGCGGTGCGGCTCGGTCCCAACGGTCTTGTTCTGTATGGTTAGGATCCGAAAGCGGAGCAGCGCGCGAGGCGTTATGCCGAGCTGATCCCTCACAGCGACCTCACGCGACAACCGTCGCATGTGCGACGGCAGCCATAGACGCGTACCGGCATCGCACATGCGTCGCACGGAGCCATGCCGTCGACGATTCATACCTGATAGTCAGAGCGCGACGGAAACATTATTCACATCGAGGCCTTCGGAGTGCATCGAGCACCTCTCGAAGCAGCCTCAGCAACACAGCTTTTGAGTCGACTCAAAAGCAGAATCGAGGCCTTGAGAGAGCATCGAGCAGCTCTCGAAGCAGTATCAGCAACACAGCGTCGAGCCGGATACCGTTTCTTGGAACTGGTTACCAGATCGCTGGTTACAGCGGTACTGTTTCGAGCAGCAGTGGCGACAGAGAGCGGAGGAGAGGGAGAAGAGGCGTGATTGTCGCAGCAGCTGCGTCGTCTGGGAGGCCGTCAGCCGACGACGGCTCAAATTTAAGATCGCTAGTTCAAGCAACGCTTGATTTTATCCAGGTAGACAGGCGTGATTCCACTGAGTGCATTGCATTGCACAACATCCCTTCCCCATTTCCCACTCTCCCTGCGCCACGTTCAGGGCCAGAAGCAACTCATGCCTTGACCCTCTACATTCTTCTCCTGGTGCTCGTATCGGTCGTGGGGCTTTCTCTAATCGTCACTACTTCCCTATGCTCGCCCCGCTGCGACAACCCAACCCATCACACTCTCCACTTGCTCAGAGCTCTGGCGAACGAAACGTGTGACAGCGGGTGCTTGTGAAGGCGTTGCTGCTGCTGGCAGGCTCCGTCCTTTGCTGTACCCTTCCCAAGGTCACCCCCGTGCCCCAAAACAACATACTCCCTTCCCTCTCCCCGTTTTGAGTCAACTCAAAACAAGGCTCATCACACACGGATTTTACGTTGCTGCTGCTGGCAGGCTCCGCCTTCGCTGTATCCCCCCAAGGTCACCGCCATGCCCCAAAGCGTCTTACTCCCTTCCCTCTCCCCGTTCTCCCATTCACGGCATGGCGGAATGTGAAGCAGCGGGTGCTTGTGAAGGCGTTGCTGATGCTGGCAGTCTCCGTCCCTTGCTGTATCCTCCGCAAGGTCACCCCCATGCCTCAAAACAACATACTCCTTTCCCTCTCCCCGTTCCCCCATTCTCGGCATCAATGGCGGAATGTGAGGGCAGCGGGTGCTTGTGAAGGTGTTGGTGCTGCTAGCGGGTTTCCTTCTGACCTCTTCTCTCTCTGCGTTCACCCTCTGCCTCAACCCATCCCTCTCCCCTTTCCCACTCTCCACACGCACTCCCCACCCTCCCTCCCTCGCAGCGGCGATGGCGGAACGTGAGGAGGCGGGTGTTTGTGAAGGTGCTGGTGCTGCTGGCGGGGTTCTTTTCAGCCAACGCGCTCTCCACCATCGTGGGGCAGACGGGCGACTGGGACGTGCTCGTCGCCGGCTCCCTCGTCGCCTCCCTTGAGCTCCTCGGCGCCTGCCTCTACCGCCTCCGCCTGCGCGCCGCTTCCGCTGCTGCCGTCGACGCCGCGAAACTCGCAGCCAAGAGCGCAGCAGCTGCTGCAGCAGCAGGAGGAAGAGGAGGAGGAGGAGGGGGGAGGGTGGGAGCAGGAGGCGGGGTATCGGCCAGTGGGACAGGGTCGGGTGGAGATGTGGAGGGTGATGAGGGGGTGGAGAAAGGGGAGGGTGCATTGGTGGATGCAGTGGCGTTGGTGAATTTCTGGAAGGCGGGCATTATATTGGGCCTGTTTGTGGATGCTTTCAAGGTTGGCAGCTGAGGGAGTTGTGTTGTGAATGATTTGATTTGGCTGATGGGAAATGGTTAGAGCGTATTCCTATCCTCGTATCAAGAGAACCTCATATCAACCTCCCACTGAAAATTCCCCTGAACCCAAAACTGTTGAATTATATATCTTATAACTGTCTACAGCTTGCTAGTGTATTAGTTAGCTATTAGAATCAACCGTTGGTGGTGCACCCTATCCCTTTGCTCTTGCCTACTTGTACTTCCAACTCTATAGTGAACCCCTCTTCTTTGCTCAACCTTCTCGACATTCATGCAAGCCCCCATACCCTAGTCTCCTAAGTCCTCTCCTAATCATACAAAAACCTCAGTGCAAAAGGTACAATCTTGATATGAGGTTCTCTTAATACGAGGATAGGAATACGCTCTTAGGGTACATTCCTGTGGGGACACTTGTGTCTCAATCCCCGTTTTCCCGAGTCGCGCCTGTAAATTTGCCAAATGTTGTGTCACAAACAACCAATGTATCGCGACCCTGCGCGACAGATGGGCACAGCCAGGTGGGTGCGTACTATTGGTTGCGACCAATAGGATTGTGCCCACCCAGTTTTCCCGCCGGGCAGGGGGGCTAAACATATCGCACCACCTCGAGTATCGCGGTGGGCTTGCCACAGAAATGAATTTTTTTAATCATGGCTGGCCTTGTGGCCATGATCTAGCAGTCATTTATTAAGAGAGTGTATACGTTCTTTCTATCCCCAATCGATTGTGCATTATTTTAAAGTGCCTGAAGCCACTGTATTTTCCTCAACTGCACTTCACAAACCTTCAGCAAAACTGCTGAAGAACATTCAATAAGGGTACATTCCTGCGGGGACACTTGTGTCTCAATCACTTTGTGACATCTAAAAACAGCATATACCGTGCCCTGTCACAAAAGCGGATCGCGCTTATGCGAGTCCCACTGTATTTTACATTGGTTGGCGTGAATTGCGCTTGTGTCGCGGACGAGTTACACGAGGCCCCGTCACATCCCGAAAATCGCACGCGTGTCGAAATCTCACACTGTACAGCATGCACCTGGACGCCCGAACTGGGCACGTTTCCGCGCGGGGATGGAAACCGCTCTGCCCGGGCTGACATATGACTGGTCCTTCAGCACACACGGTCACATCCCTGCCCGAATGTTTGCCCATCGTTCCAACCACACTGACAGCACTCTCCCGCTCCAATCTGTTCTTCTTCTCCCAACCCGAGCTTCCTCTTTCTTGTTGCGAAGTCTAGCCAGGGTCCTCTTTGGCACGCTGTAGCCATGGCCCGTAAGCGCAAGAGCGTAGCTAGTTCTGTTGACTTGTGCCCGCGGGATCTCGACGAGATCCCGTACATCGCTTGGATGAACAAACAAATCGCGGCCGGCCGCAAGCCCGCCGGCCCTTTGCCCGAAGGAGCGCCTGGTGCGGGGGACACCTCGTTCGAAGCCCCGCGCGATGTCCCTACCCGCGGACGCCGTCATGCCGACCGGGTTGCCTCATCCCGCGTCAACGACGATGCTGCCTTCGATGACGATGATGACGCCGCGGACTCTGATTACAACGAGTGCGACGAGGCCTGCGAAGACGACGCGGACTCTGGCGAGGAGCAGGACAAGGGCATGTCCCCCTCCGAGGATGAAGTTGACGCCGACGAGGACGCCGATGACGACGAGGACGCTCCCGAAGAGGCCCAGCCTGCGTCCCCGGCTCCTCGTCGCGGCCGTGCGTCTGCCGCTGCGGGAACCAAGACTGCTGCTAAGGGCGGGGAACCTCCGCGTGCCGCTGCCAAGACCCGTAACTTGCATCCTGTTAAGCGGAGCGTGTGGTCCCCCCGCGAGAACACAATCTTCGTGGCTGCGCGTTGGTTCATGAAGGACGAGCTCGGGCCCCTCCTCGGGAAGCAGGGCTCTCAGTACTGGGCCCGCCTCGCGCGTCACCTCGAGAAGGAGAATCCCGGTTGGGTGCGCGGTGTAAACGCGCTTCAGAAGCAGTGGCGCAATCTTGTCAACATGTACAAGCAGATCAAGAAGGGGGAAAAGGCGAGCGGCAAGGGTGCCGTGTGCAAGCCCCACTGGTACCCGTACATGGCGCTTTTCCAGAACAACAAGGCGGTGGGCAACCCTCACGCCGTCGACGGTGGCGGTGCGGCACACGTCAACGTGCCGTGCGGGTACGCGGTCCCGTCCACTTCGGCGCCCTGCACCTCTACGCCGACATTCACTGGTATGTATGTGTTGCATCAACGGTGGCACTCGCGGGTTTGTTGAATGACACATTTTGTGACAACATTTTACGCACACATTACATCATTAAAATGTTTAGGGTACATAACACCTCGTCTACTGTTCGTGTGCATCCACCGTGTGTGCAGCTCCGCCGCCACAGGGAACTCCTACATCGAAGCGCCCACGTGTGGCAGAGACGGCGACGATGGCCGCTGCAAAGCTGGTGTGCGAGACGATCAAAGGCTGCCACTCAGACGCCATGAGCAGGCTCGAAGGCCTCGTCCGCGCGTGGATGGATCAGGACGCGCGTATTGCACGGGAACGCGTGCAGCAGCCCGCACCCTCCCCGCATGTCCGCGACGACATCCCTGCCCACGCGGACAACATGACCGACTCGCACGCCGCCGAAGGCGGCGACGACGGCTGGCTTCGTCGCGGGCAGGCGGGCGAAGACCCCTCTAACCCAGATGCGGGTGAGGAGGTGTGGGTCCGCGGCGCCGCCGAGTGAGGTAAGACGACTCCAGAGCCTCGCCCAGCCGCTTGCGCCTTTCACGAAGATTCTCTTGCGTGCATGGGTCACATGGCTCCCACATGAACTCTGCTACCGCGCCACGAGTCCACCATGGGTCCCGGTTTCGGGGCAAGTTTGCCCACGATGCATTGACGCGCCTTACTGCGCCCATCATTTCGCACATGTTGTGCAGGATGACGCCACAAGACGCCCCTGCAAGAATGCGCCAGAGCTTGCAGTCATTGCGGCCCGCGAATAGACGCCACCGGCCTTTGAAGGCGCCGATGCAGCGCTCTACTGCCATGCGCGTTGCGCTTTGGCAATAGTTAAAGCACTGCTCCCAGTCCTCCATTAGGCCTTCACGGGGAGCATGTAGGGGGGTCAGGCAGAAGTCTCTGAGTGGGTAGGCAGCATCTCCCACTATTTGGTATGGCGCTATGTCGCCGTTGTACAACCTTTCGTGTAACGCGCTGTTCATGAACACTCTCTGATCGTGCGCACTGCCCGTATCCGATCAAATAGTCCCATATGATGCCTCGCGCGTCGCATGTGATCTGCAACTGGACGGCGTAACAGGACTTCCGCGTGTAGTACTCTTGCCTGTGCCCCTCCATCCCCTTCATGGGTATGTGTGTGCCGTCTATAGCCCCCACTACCGCAGGTACCCCCTTGATGGCGCGGAACTCTGCGGCCATCTCGTCGAGGTCGTCGCGGGTCGGGAAGTGGACCCACTGCTGCTTGAAGACGGACGGGAAATGCATGAGGAGCGCGTCAACAAGCATGTGGCACAGGGTCTTGGACAGCCCGAACACAGAGGACAAGTCTACGAAAGACATGCCACTTGCGAGGTATTTGATAGGTACAAGGCATGCCACTTCATGACTGATTAGGTACCTGTCCACGTACGGTTGCATGTAGTGCGTCATCCCGGCGACAATGTATTCGAGAATGCCACGGTTTATGCGAAACATATCTCTGAACTGATCCTCCCCCATGCCGTCCAGGTCCTCTAGCAGCAACTGGTATCTCCGCCGGCGTAGCCCAGCCCTTCGTTTCCGCTCTGCGGTACGGTTGGAGGCGCGAGAGCTGGATGACGAGGACACCTCGTCATTGAAGACGTTCGCCTCCAGCAAGCCACCGACCGACTTGGCGATGGCGTCCATGAATATGCTGTAGTAGAACGTAACCCATGCGACAAGTAGGCGCATGAGGAATGGCACCTCGCGGGGCGATGCCATGGTTGCTAGACAGTGGTGCAGTTTAGCTCTGTGATTCTTGCGTTTTTGTACTTGGAGCCGTGGTTGTATACATGCTGTTGTGTGTGGGGTGGCCCAAATTGCAACTGAACACATTGGTGGGAGGCAGGATCTGGCAACGGCAGTCAACCTTGACCCACAGACCAGAACCTTAGCCCTGACCCTGCTTGTTATTCAACCAGTCGCCGTCAAACCCGACGGCAAAAAAGGGTTTGCGCCCCAGGCTACCGGTCAAGTTGCCGGCTAGCCGTCTTACACGCTCCAGATGGCTTCGGGCTCCGCGGGTGCGCGGAACTTGGGCGTTCCGCATTTCGATCCCAGCACGTCCGCGCGCAGCAGGCGGAGACATCCGCGGGAGGGGACGGGGTTGGAGTGCGAGAAGGGGATCTCGTCCCGCGGAAGGTCCCACGTCACGCTGCGCGCGCGGTGGTGAAAAGCCCGCGGATCCGCTCCGGTGGCGCGCCTCGGCGTGCCGCAGCGCGAGCCGAGAAGATCGCATCGCGCCAGCTTCATCAAGCGGCCGGTGCCGGAATCTGAGCAGCTTCTGGGGAACTTCACGGTGGGAGACGGTACTGCGCCGTCGAGACAGGACGGCGAACGCGCCGTCGTTTCGCGCGAAGCGGGACTGGTGCTTGGGAAAATATTTTCAGCGCTGCGAGCGCAAATTTCAGAGGGAGACGTATATGACCGGGCCGCTGCTGGGACGTGATAAATTGGCGCTGAGGCCACGGGTTGGCACGTGGCGGAACGGACGGTGGCGGACGGGTGCGGGGAAGAACTGGCGGAAGCGGCGGAAGTTGAGAAAGCGGCGGAAGCGGGGCGGAAGAGGAAACGGGGAGTGCCGCACCGGGAGCCGAGCAGTAGGCGGCGCTGCTCTTGCAGCGATGGCGAGGAATGATGCTGCTCGGGGAAGTCGGAGATACAGTCCGGTGGAGATGGTATGGCGACCGCGAGATGTCGCTCCTCCGCCCACTCACGCAGCCGCGGACAGAGAGCCGTCAGATTCGGGGCGTGGCACGCCATCATCGGACGGTCGGTGTGAGAGGTGGATTAGAGCCGCAACGGGACGAACGGAAAAGCTAGTAAGAATTCGAAGACAGAGAGTGACGGAGGGATGAGATGGCTAGTAAATGGAGAACATGCCTTTGAATATGGAGGACTGAAGGAGCTCTCTGATCCTTGCACCTGCGGATCGCAAAATCCGAGCTACTATCTGACCAATCGTGGATGGTCCCTTGCTGACCGACTAAGGACCGCCCGCCGCCTTTCCCTAACTCCATGGCCTACCAAATCCGCACAGTAGCGTAGCATGTGATCGCTCGTATGACAGTGCGGCATGGGACCTCCGTTTAGAAACGCGCCACGCCATCGCTGCCAGCGGCATCTTACGTCAGATGCAATCTGGAAATGAGCTTTAGGATCAAAGAGAAAGCTAGCGATGGCGTGCGATCTTGTGAAAGTGAGCAGATTTTTGAAAAATCGCTACCCATCCCACCTTGATAATCTTACTGCCTAGCAAGACAGCGTGGAGCCAGGCGTTCATTTTCCTAAGTGGGATGGTACAGTTCAGTGTGGATTTCCGGTTACTGTGCGAAACCAGCTTCGAAAGATTAGTGGGCCAATCAGTTCCTCAGGGAAACCAGAGGGAAACGAACGATATAGATAACAACTTCTGTCAACATCGTCACTTGGTAACCAATGAGGGTTCTGCCCACCAGAATGACCTTCGGTGCAATAACGGCGGTTCGCCCATTCTTGGACAGAATTGTGGTTACGTATATAAAAGCCATCTTGCTGGAGGCTGAGAGAGGGAAAATGGTTCTTGACTCAACACACCCGACGCCATGCCCACAGGTCCTCAGGCGGTGGAGAACAATCAGATTCTGCCAGGTACACATGGTCCGCGGTATTCTTACACCCTCCAATTTCACACCTCTGTGTATTCGTTCCTCGTTTGCCCGGAGATTTTGGGCTGTTTCAAACAGTTTGGTTTTAAGGAATTAACGATTCAGACTCCGCACAAGAGTCAGCGGGAAAACAAAAAGCATGGTCGCAGCGGAAGATACAGTCTTTACGTTGCGGTCACAAAGTCACACTTTCATAACATCGACACTTTACTATGCCACGGATAGTCTCCAGTTCCTTGGTTGTCTGATCCCTAAAGCCAAAAACGGTTCAAATGGGTTTTAAGAAACACTCGACGAGGTGTGGATTTGGCGCGGGCTAGGTGTAAAAGCATGTGATTCTGTTCCCACTGGCACTGCCAACCCTCGAACTTAGACCTGTCAGCCCAGACGAACTTGCCTGTGTCACAGATCCCGCCACTGGAAATGTGAAATTGAATCCCGCCTCGAACTCATTACGTGTTGTCACAGAGATCTTCCCTCTACAAAATCCACTCCATTAGAAGCATATTGGACTGTTTTTGCAAAGCTGTGTAGTTCGCTTCACCTGTATAAGCATTCCATGCTAGGTGCTTACCTGGTGTACTAGCTCAATGTCACCGGCAAGAACATTGCCATAGAATAAATAAAGAATGAGCACGCTTATCGTGTGTGCGGCTTAACCATTAAAGAAGCTCCCTATGGAACTGGTAGCAAAAAACTTCGTCGGATCGGCAAAACTCAGTCCGGTGTGAATTCTCATCGCCAAAACTCTCTACCGTACCAACGAGGCAATGCACCATAATCAAACCACACAGCTCGCCACACCCCTCGCCACACCACCTAGGACGCAGGAACTTGCACTGGTGACGAACCAGTTACTCCTGGCACAGACCCAGCTGCAGTGCCAGGGAAGACAGCACCAGGGAAGACAGCAGCAGGGCGGGCAGAGAGCCGGCGCCTGAGGTTATCCAGTGAGGCAGCAACAGCTTGTGTGTCATGTCTCAGCCTCTGCAGAGTTTCCAACACATCCCCACTGCCCTCCTTGCCCTCCTTGCCGCCCCCAATGCTGCTCCTGCTGCTCCTGCCGCCACTGCTGCAAGGTGCAACCCACGTGCCACCCACGCTGCTGTGACTTGGAATTCTACTGCTAGTCGCTCTACTGCTGCTCGTGCTGCTGATCAGGGAATCTGCACCTGGACTGCCTCTCACTGTGGCCAGCCCAGAGGCTGAACAACTTTCTGAAGAGACCAGAGCACTTGCAGCAGCACCGGAGGAAGAGAGGTGGTTCGATGAAGGCACAGGCACGGGGGTGACTGGATTGCTGCAGGAGGAAAGGCCACCACCACTACAATCACTGCCACCACCACTACTACCACCTGAGCTTGCCTGCATGGGGTGATTGGAGCTCCTCCCTTGGCTCACCAAATCAGCTTCTCGTGGCTTACCGCCCTCCACTGAGTCTGCTTTATCGCCTACGCACGCCACTGCTACTGCTGCTGCTGCTGTTGCTGTTGTTGCTGCATCCGCTGCAGTCGTCTCTTCAGCTGCAGGGCTTGAAATCTCTCCACAGCAAGGAGCATCATCAGCAGCAGGCCCTCTATCCGCCTTGGAAGGTTGAGCTTCAAAAGAACTTGACGCAACACCGGAGCCCTCTGCACTGCAAGGCGCCGAGCTTGCTGCCACTCTGCCAACCTCACCTTCACTAGCCTTCTCGCCTGCACCACCCGCCGCACCTATGCCGCCCGCCTCTCCGCCGCCCGCCTCGCCTCCACTGCTTGCCTTGCCTGCTTCCTCTGCTCGGCCACGGTCTCCCTCAGGCCGCACAGAGCCCTTCCTCAGCACTGACCGGGACCGCTCGAGAACCTTTCGGGCAGCTTCCGTGGCAGCAGCAGCTGCTGCCATGGCGTCAGCAGCAGCTCTGCCTGATTTGGTGGCGCGGAAAGAAGTGGGCAGGTCCCCCGTGGACCCAGAAGCACTACTACTGGGGTATGCACGTGCAGCAGCAAGGGTGAGGGGTGCAGCAGCAAGGGTTGCAGTATCAGCTGAGCCATTTCCGTAAGAGTCACTGCTTGCACTGCTCATCATGCTGCCAGCTCGCTCCATCCCAGCATCTGCTGCTCGACCCCCCTCCGTGTTACCCTCCCTTTCCACGTGTCTGCCGCCCTTCCCCTGGCCATGCGTGTCGCGAGAGGAGAGGTTTACCTCTACTGTTTCATCACCCTGCTCCTCTGCCCTTTTTTCTGTCGTTTTCTCTGCCGTTTGCTCTGCCGTTTGCTCTGCTTGCTTCTTCCTGCCCACTTTCCGTTCCTCTGCTTGTGCATCCTTGTCCTCCTGTGTTCCGCTGCTGCCACTCCAACTGCTGCCCTCCTTTCTGCCTTGGCTCTCACCTTCCACGTCAGCATCTACCACGTCAGCATCATCCACAAGATCTGCCAGCTGCTCCCATATCGAGTCGGCCACATGTTCCGGATTCTCATCAGTGGAACCTGTCTGGTCACTGGATGGCTCCCCACATGTGGCATGCTGAGAGGCAGGCGCAGCTGCAGCATCACTCACACCCCCCTCACTCACACTCCCCTCACTCACACCCGCCTCACTCTTCACATCCCCATGCCTTCCCTTAGCTACATCCGTCCCTTTTCCGTCCTCTTGCTCCCCCTCCCCTTCCCCCTCCCCCTCCGCCTGCTGCTCTTGCGCCTGGTGCCGCTCCTCCTGTTTTCTCCCCTCCTCCTTCTCCTGCTGTGCCTCCTGCTCCGCCTGTGCCTGCTGCTGCACCTTAGCCTGTTCAAAGTCTCGAAGCCACTGCTCCTTCTTCTCCTCCCACTCCCTCTCCAAAGACACCACCCGCGCCTTGGCTTGCTCCCTCAGCTCCTGCAACCGCCCCGCCTCGTTGCCCGCCCAACTCGCCCTGAGAGGAAGGGTGACAGCAAGTGTTTGGGGGGGAAGGAACAGGGGGAAGAGAGAAGGACGGGGCGAAGTCATGAGGCAGAGTAGAACCTGCTTTGTCTTCTCCTCCCCTCTCCCCTTCTTTTCCTCCCCTCTCTCCCTCCCTCTCTCCGCTTACTCTCCTCCCACTCCCTCCCCTTCACCTCCCCCCTCTTTTCCCAGCAACGAAGGTAAAGCCAGCAACCGCATCCGTCCAAACCCTATTTCACACCCAACCAGCACCAAGAATTTCAACCACAATAAGGTTAGAAGCTTATTCATCCAGGCACATGGCACATACCCTGAAGCAGCTTGCTGGTGAAGGTTCGGCGCACTGCCACGCCCCCCTTGCTGCTGCTGATACTGCTGCTGCTGCTGGTACTGATGCTGCTGCTGCTGCTGCTGCTGCTGCTGCTGCTGATACTGCTGCTGCCCTCCACTGCCCCGGGCAGCCGAAAAAGAGTGCATTGGGGAAGTTCCCGGCACGGAATTCCGGGCAAAAGACGAGTAGCTACTGCTCCGATTGGGTACGTTACGGAAACTACCCGTCGGCGAGAGGTACGAGGCGTACCCCTGAGACGCTCTGAACCCTCCTGCACCCCTCTGCACCCCCATGGGTCTTCCTCCCGCGGGTGCAGAGCAGGGGCAGGGGGGGAGGCGGGTACGCAGGGTATCAAATACGGCTCGCTTGTTGCTCTCTGTCAGTGCTGTGTGCGCCTGGGGGGGGAAGGAGGTGGGGGACAGGAGCGGGAGAGGAAGGGGAGGTAAGGGGAGTGGAGGAAACGGGAGGGGCGAGGCAGGTAAATAGGAGATCGAACACTGCTTGCTCGTTGCTGGGAGCGGGTGAGGGAGGGGCCATGGTGGGTGGCGAGGTAACAGCAGGGAAAGTGGAGGAGTGGGTAGGGAAAAGTAGTGGGAGGGTAGGGAAAAGTAGTTTTGGAGGAAAAGGGGTGGGAAGAGAGAACAGGGTAGGGGGAGGGTGAGAGGAAGGAGGAGAGAAATGCGCTGAGGAGGCGGCCACAGAGGAGGTGCAAAGTCTCGTTGTAAGATTCTCGTTAGAAGACTCACCTCCTTGACATAACGGAACGCTGCTTCCGCCTTCTGCGACCTGTTCTTATCCGGATGCAGCAGAAGCGCTGAAAGGGAGGGCAGAGGAGGAGAAAAGAGGTGAGGGTAGACCAGGAGTCAGGAGGGGAATCAACGATCAGACCCACG